TTTTTTCAAAATAAGTTATTTTGATAATGAAAAACATGAAGAGAGGTATACATGCAAGGTGACTGCCAAATTCGTTTTCCCGTTTGAAATTCTGAAGATTGTAATTTGAATGGTGTCCGAAAATTAAACTCTAGACATATTTTAAGCAAAAATAGACTTTCCTCAGTGATTAAGTTATTTTGTTGTAGAATGAAAATGTCTGAATTTTAAAATTCAAAATATAATAAAGACATTTTAAGGTATTCAGGCCCAATAACTAAAACAAAATAAACTCATTTTCTCTTTTTCTCGCATAATAAATAGAAGATCACAAACTTTCACGCTAACACTCAAACGCAAAATTAACTAAATGGATACTATTGAGTACAACGGATGTGAGAGGTGCTAATATCTTCCCCTTACATAACCAACTACCGAATCCTCATTTGGTCGTGATGACCATTTCTTTTCTTTCGTGAGTTTTATTTGATATTTTCCATTTCCTTTTAAAATAAATAAAGATTGGTGACGACTTTATTGTATTTCGAGCGTATGATACTTTCAAATAGTTTTTTGCGCCGCGACACCCTACACATTCTTCATCATGTTGTGTAGATTTTCTTTGACAAATGAATTTTTTACCCATCAAAATGTTAATGGTGTGTCCTTGTTTTATTCTTTGCGATGAATGACAATAGGGGCTAGGTTTTGTTTTAATCGAATGATAACAAACGATCTAAAGATAGTCATAAGGATATTTGTAGTGAAATTTAGATCGATTTTATAGCAAAAAAATCATGAGATACAAAAATAAATTTACTCGCAATTCGATTCAATTTTAAATAATTGATTTAAAAAAATTGAATTCAATCCTATCCAATTATATATGGTTAAATTTGAATTGACCTTTTAATATCCATATTATAAATTATATATTTTATTAAGATTATAAAAAATACTAGTAAATAATCAATTTTATATGATTTGTATCATATTATTAATAAAAGTTAATATTATAAATTTTTAAAGTAAATGTAATAATAAAAATAAATAGATTACATTAAATGAATATAGTATTTTTTAAAATAAATATTATTGAATAATAAATCACTATAACATTTTAGGGGTGTATATAAGTTGGGTAAATACAATAAATTTAGTAAAATTCATTCAAACTCACCTAAAAAAATAAGTTGGGTTGAGTTATTGGGTGAGCATAATTTTCAAAAATAAAAAATCATTCAAAATGAGAAAATTTCTCTTTGCATTCTTATATCTTTGCCAAATCCCTGGCAAAAGGATAAAAATGTCTTTTATTTTTGGAGATATATCTCTGAACTTTTTTTCTTCACAAAATTCTTAATTTCGGAAATGCATATGTGAATTAATCTTTTTTTTTAAAAAAATATTTTCGGATATGCATATCCTAATAAATCTTATTTTTCTACGAAAAAAATATATTTTCGGATATGCATATCTGGAAGGTTTCCTGTTGTATTTTTTTAAACTTAATATTAGATGTATTCGGATATCAACACCTAATAGTCATGCATCAACAATGCAACAAATATGTAAATATTAACAATTTTCCTATTGAGAAAAATAACTGGAAAATAGAAAAAAGATTAAAATAAAATTATAAAATATGAAAATACAAATAAAAATAAAATCAACTAAATGTTTACAAATTTTTCTGAATTTTTTCGAAAATATGAAAATGGAAAATAAATCAAATAAAATAGAAAATAATAAGTTTATGGATTTTAGGACGGTGTCTCATATTTTGTTCCAAAATAGGGGACTTTGATCCCTTATTTTTATAATGAATTGACACGGTAAAGTTTTGATTCATAGTCGATTTTTCAAAAAGCATAGTTTTTTATGTTATGTCGCGTAAAGGCCAGAAACGCAGGAATGCAAGTGGTAAAACGCGAGGATACATTTCCTATGACTCTAATATTGATTAAAAACGTCAAAGAGTCTTCGACAACAACGCCAATTTCAATGAAAATGTGTAGTAAATGGATTCGGGAGTATTTTCGGATATGCATCTCCTAGTTTACCCTAAAATTTTCTAAAATGCATCTCTGAATCAATTTGCTGCTTGATTTATGAATGGTGCGTTCAAAGATGTATCTCCGAATAAATTCAATGGTATTTTGAGATTTTCAAAGACGCGTCCCACTACATAAGAGTGTAATGAGAAATTCCCTAAAATAATTGAGTTACGAGTAAATCCATCAAACTCACAAAACTCATGGATTATTGAGTGACTATTTTTTACTCTTTTTTATAATTTGATATGAGTGATGACTTTGATGTATTTAATCTTAGTTTTTTTAATTAAAATCATCTGAATATATTTTATTTTATATATAACGATTTTAACTTATTTAAGATGTCGCACTTTGATAATTTTGATGTCAATTCTTGTAAATTCAATCGGTGGAGAATTATGAGAAAGATGTCTTGCATATCGCCAGTACTTCAGATGGAGTCCTTAAAGTAGGAGACATATATAGGAAGCTTCAAGTGGAAGGTGATGATGAAAGGGATGAGATTTGGAGTTGTGTCTGGAAATTACAAGTTCCCAAGCGTGTAAGGAACTTCATTTGGCTGCTAAGACATGACCGACTAATGACTAACCTCCGAAAGAGCTTATTTGGTTTTGGAGACGTTTATCATATTTGTGGCAATGTGTGTGAATCTGCGCTGCATGTCATTAGGGATTTTCCTAAGGCGAAACAAGCATGGGGTACGCTTATCCCAGATTCTTTCTGTAATAGTTTCTTTGCAGGTGATTTGCAGGAGTGGATCCAGCTCAACGTGGACGTGCATGGCATGCATGGCAACTGATGTAATACGCGGGTGATTGAATGCCATGCTAATTAGACATGGAGAAATAAAGACGTACACAATGAAGATCATGAGAGACCTACTAATGCTAGTGGCCGTATAGTGGAGCGGGTGAGAGATTATACAGCTGCTACGGCTGTGCATACCATTGTTATTGGAAGGAATCAAATCATGGAATCCGTGCGATGGCTACACGCTCCATTAAACTATGTCAAAATTAATGTAGATGAAGCTTATGGTAGGGATAATCTTGTTGGGTGTGGCAGTCTTTTGCGTGATTCTAATATGGGTTGGGTTTGTGGCTTTTCTAAATTCATTGATAAATGCAATCCATTCGTAGCGGAGGTTTGGGGTATTTATGAAGGGCTTAAACTTTCTTATTCTAAAGGCTTTGCGAAAGTTATTCTTAATGTTAATTCAAGAAAAATCATTGATACAATCAACAATAAAGGGTATAATGATCTTTTTGAGTTGACTTTGATTAGGCAAATCCAGTTGTTAGTGGTCAAACACGGTGTGATGATACTAGAGCATGTTTTTAGAAAAGTTAATCCTACTGCATATGAGCTTCCTAAAGTTGAGATGAGGATGAAGAATGGATTCTTACATTTTTGATGAGGTTCCCTATTCCATTAAGAATCAGCTGCAAGAGGATTTGCAGTGTAGTTCCACTTAGGGATGTCAATGGGGCGGGGCGGGGCCGGGGGGACACTTCCCCATCTTTTTCCCCGCCATCAAATTCATTCCCCGTCCCCGTTCCCGATCTCCGTCACGGGGGAATTTCTATCCCCATCCCCGTTCCCCGCGGATCCCCGTTCCCCGCGGGGATCCCCATAGATCCTACATTTATTCATTAATATTTTATTTTTTAAAAATGTTTATATTTTCTATAAAAATAAAAAGCACAAAGAATTCACATATTTATTATGTTATTAAAAAATACTAGTATTTGACATTTATTATTTTTTATTAAAAATACTAATGGAACACAAAATAATAATATTTTTTTTATAAATTTCTATAAAATGCTATAAAATTCAACAAAATGAAACGCTTCAACTTTTTTAGGGTCTAATATTTACATTTCTCTCTCTTAATAAATACATGAATATTTATTTATTTATTTTTATAAATAAACATAAAGGAAATGACTAAAAAACCTAATCTAAAATATATATATTAAATTAACTATATTAAAATAATAGGCGGGGCGGGGTCCCCGCGGGGCGGGGGGTGTATTCCCCGTCCCCGTCCCCGAAATGCTCTCGGGGGAATTTTTCTCCCCATCCCCGCCCCCACGGGGGAAAATTCCCCATCTTTGGGGCCCCGAACGAGGCGTTCCCCGCGGGGATCCCCATTAACAGGTCCAAACTGACATCCCTAGTTCCACTTCTAGGGTGGTAGTTTTGTAGTTCATTTGTTTCTTTAGGCTTCAGCCCTCTCTTTTTAAAAAAAAAAGTATTTTATGTAATTTTAAATATTATCACAATAACTTTGATTTTGACAAATATCTTTAAGATAAATTTTATCGTGCATTTAAATATTTTATGCTTAAAAAAACAGTAATAATAAGTTAAACAATTTATTAAAAGAAAAAGTGACAAATTATTTATAATTATATAAGGAAAAAAAACAGTAATCCATTATCCAACTCAATCCAATCCAAATCATAAATTTGTGATTTTATCCAAATCAACCCAATGTACATTGTATAGGTTGGATCATGGTTTTATCTAAAATCAACTCAAACCAACTAATGTACACCCTACATACTAATAAACATTAAAATATATACATCTAGTTCGATTCAATTTAGATTGATTTTAAAAATTAATCCAAAAATCTAATCTGATTCAAAGAGTTTTTTACTAAATGACATCCAAACACATCCATTAATTTTCAAGTTTTTTTTCTGTTGCAATTTTCAAAATTTTTTAATCGATTTACAATTTTTATTTAGATCGGTTTGTGAATTTAAACACCCATAAACAACCATTAAAAATACAAAATTTGAAACAAAATTTGAATTTTAGTAATGCTCTTAATTCATTAATTAGATCCTTAAGAGAGTGATTAACATAACTCTTACCGAAGGGAAGAAACCTTTCACCATCAGATTTACACATTCAGAAAGAAAAATATAGTACAGTGTTAATACAATCACTTCATATAAACCAATTGACAGTAATGTTTCCAAGCCATATGAACAATGGAAACTGAGCAAAAGCAATAAACAGCAAGAGATAATGATGTTTACTTGAATCATAACTCCTCACTTCTGCAAAAAGGACTCTTTTCATTGTTTTAACTAAGAATACTCCCATGCATAAGCACGTCCATGGCATCAAAACGTAGTATGAGTAACCGGAGATTATTTTTCCAACTACAGCCAAAGATATGCCCGTGAAAGTATACCCTGCGTACGCTATAATGTCCAGTAGTGGTGCTTCTCCACTTCCTAATGAAAGTAATGTCGCTTTAAGCAGTGCTGTTTGCGTAAACCAACCAACCAATCCCTTGATGAATAACCAGTTTAATGCTTCGGGACTAAACCTGGCAACAACAAATACAACATGCCTAAGAAACTATGACAACCGAGGATAAAAGTGATTTAGCAACTCTTCATCACAACGCAAATAAACTTCACAGTGTAGCATTGAGGAGTTAGAGAGCTTTATATATTCCTTTACAATTGTACAAAAGAAAGATTATTGATAGCTAATAGTCTGCACGATTTAGTTACCACGCATAACATTTTTGGGATCTTCAAGTGACTTTTGCAAAGGTATCACCAGGAATAGGAAATGTATTCAGCTGCGAATTATGTTATATATAAATCAGGATAAAGTATCGTATGGAGCTCTAGGCTGCAAGGTTGTCATGATCGGAATTTTGCATAAGATCGGGAGGGGATAGTAAGATTGAAAAACATAAGATCATAACTAAAATCGGAAGATCCTACCCAAATATTTTTATAAGATCGGGAGGTTAGCAAGATTGTAAAACATAAGATCTTAATAAAAATTGTAGGATATTAATATTACTAAAACAAAAATAATACTATATATTTAAAGTTTCTGTACATGATATTTTGGTAAGCAAGAGTATTCCTAGAAAAATGGTCTCCGCCGAACCGTAATTGTTGGGCTCCGGCATCTTATCATCCTTATCAGCTTGTAATGGTGGTGATTGGAAAACGGTGGATCGTGGCCGGAACTAGCCAAGATCACACATAATCAATGGTTTTAAGATTTTTTTTACAATTTGGCTACAACATACGATTCTACTTAAAACCAGAATTGTTGGGGGTGAGTGAGATCGCAAAAATCGTAAGATTTTAATATCTAGATTGTGATATTGACAACCTTGCTAGGCTGCACATACCCACAAGTTTGAGGATATAATTCATATCAGTACTATATTATAGAATTAGGATATCCGAGATATTATACTTACTTTCCACGAAGACCGAGTGAAATGCCAGCAAGAACAACATAGGTACCAAATGCCATCAATGGAATGTACAGGTCAGGTGCATTTATGTCATGAATTGGAGGTTTATATGAGAGTCTACCTCCCACTGGTTCGGTAATTCTAGTCCAATGACCCTGAACAAGAAAACACAAAAATAAGAGCAAGCAAGAAGATAAAATAGCAAAACAAAAGTAAGAAATTCAATTAGATGAATGCAGAAAAGAGTGACATTGTTGCTTACCCGGTGCAGGAATGGAAACAAAACCACCTTTAATTTGTTCTTAACATAGTGGTCATTCACTTGGAAGTAATATTGGGGGTCAGAGAAATACCGACTTATCTGTTTTCGAAAATAGATGATAAATAAATAAACAAACATGAGTCAGTATGTTAAACTGAATCATTAAAAGTTATAGAATGGTGATACATACATTGCTTTGGACGTACTCAGAGCTTGATCCAAATATTTTTTCTCCATAAGCACCCAATCCACCTCGAATGAGTCCAGAACCGGCAGCATTAAATGCATTTCCAAGCACATTAGGTTGTGAGCTTGTTGGAGGTTGAGAATAAAATTGAGGCACCCCCAGTTGCGGCCTGACATTATTATACATTCTCACTGCTGTTCAAAGTGAAATAACAAATCAGATACAACTTTTTCAAGGTTATAGATATGACCTAAGGATGAAAAAAAAAAGGGAATGTTGGGATTGAAGACGTGTAGCACCAACACTTGAGGTTGAAGACGTGTCTGACACTGACACCGATACATAGTTACATTCAATAACTCTCATTTTCTTAAATTATTACCGATATACATGTGTTTGTGTCAATATCATGTTCGTATGTGTGTTGGTGTTTCATAAATCAAAACATTATGATAAAAACTAATTTTTTTAATGGTCAAATAATATATTACTAAAGAAAAGCGAAAGCTCACAAAAGGATACAGAACGAGTAAACACGGGCACAAGGAGTGCCAAAAATCAACCGGCAACAGAAGAAGAAAAGCCAAAACATAAACAAAATGAAAGAAACATCTACAGACTGTTGGTGTACAAGAATCAATGATAACAGAAAAATGAGAGAATAATAAATGATGTCTGCAAAGGAAAAGTATGAAAGAATATAGAGTTGTTGTTATAAATGACATTTATGACTAGTCTATTTATACAAAAGGTAAATTGCCACATAGGTCCTAATAAAATAAACTTACTGACTAAGTTAAATTACCCTTCAATACCATCCCTTAATTTAGAATCTTTCTAATCAAAACTAACAACACCAATTCCATTTCTTAAACAAAGAAATTGATCCGTCTTGATTCCCTTCGTCAGAATATCTGCCAGATACTTCTGGGTGCTACAGTGCACAACTTCTAGTATTCCATTATGGACTTGACTTCTGAGAAAATGATACTTTGTCTCAATATCCTTGTTTCTCCCGTGTAGTACTGGGTTCTTGACAAGATTGATTGCAGACTTGTTATCAATCATCAGCTTCAGAGGCTTATCTACGTTGATCTTCAGATTCTGCAGTAAATTCAAAAGCCACACAGCTTGACATGCAGCTACAGCACCTGCAATGTATTCATCTTCACATGTTGATAGAGCAACAATGGGTTGCTTCTTGAAACACCAAGAAATATGACCTCTCAGAAACTTAAACAAGTATCCAGAAGTGCTTCTTCTATCAACTCTATCTCCACACCAATCAGAATCAAAGTAACTCATCAACTTTGAATTTGTCTTTCTTCCAGAAGGGAATAGTACTCCAAACTTTAGAGTTCCCTTGTTATACCTCAAAATCCTGACAGCAGATTGGTAATAGGACCACTTAAGTTTACTCATGAACCTACTAACCAATCCAACCACATAGCAAATATCAGGTCTGGTATTACACAAATATCTTAGAGAACCAACCAACTGTTTGAAGGTTGTAGCATCCACATCTTCACCATCAGAGTCAGAATTCAATTTATGATTGGTTTATGACGTAACAGCGGCCTTACAATTTTCCAGCTTGAATTTCTTCAGAAGCTCAAGTTCATACTTCAGCTGATGCAAAATTAAACCTTGTTCGGAGTATAATACCTCCATCCCTAGAAAGTAAACCAGCTTTCTTAGGTCAATCATCTCAAACTCATTTATCAGAGTCTTCTTGAACTTGACAACTCCTTCATAACAGCTTCTCGTCAGCAATATGTCATCAACATAAAAACATACCAAAATCATATTGCTTTCAGAATGCTGAACATACACGCCATACTCCATCTCACACTTCTGAAAACCTTGCTTCTTGAAAAATGAATCAATCTTCAAATTCCCAGCTCTGGGCGCTTGCTTCAATCCATACAGAGCTTTATGTAACTTGTACACCTTCCCTTCCTGATTCTTTTTCACGAAACTAGGAGGTTGTGACACGTATACTTCCTCTTCTAATGGACCATTCAGAAATGCAGACTTCACATCCAAATGCATCAGAGACCAATTTCTATTTGCAGTTAAAGCAATCACGAGTTTGATTGTTTCATGTCTATCTACAGGCGCAAACACCTCAAAGTAATCTAGCCCAGGTTTCTGAAGAAAACCTCTAGCCACTAGCCTTGCTTTGTGCTTGCCAATTGATCTATTTGACTTAAGCTTCACCTTGAAAATTCATCTGACGCTGATGGCTTTCTTCTTATCTGGAAGCTTAGTCAACTTTCAAGTCTTGTTTCTTTCTGTAGCCTCAAGTTCTTCTTTCATGGCATTCAGCCATACTTTCTTCTTGAGAGCTTCTTTAATACTCACAGGTTAAGAGTCTACTAACATGGCACACTGAACAATTTCTCCTTCTGAATCTACTTCAATATCTTGCAGCATGTCAAACTCTGCAAACCTTCTTGGTATTTGTCTGATTCTTTGTGGCTTCTGAACTTGTTCAAAAACTCTTTCCAATTCTAGAACAGTATCAGATGCTTGACCACCATCAGAAGTTCCACCTTCTGAATTGCCTTCGGAACCTCTACCTTCAGAATCATGACCTTCACCAGAAACGTGATCATCTTCAGAAGCTTGTCCTCCAGAATCTACGTCTTCAGAATTTTCCCTTCCAGAAGCATGACAACCACCAGATTTTGGATCATCATCAAAATTTGGATCAGAATCAGATTCACCATCTGACTCATCTTCAGAGTTTTCAGAACCATCATCTGACTCTGACCAATCTTCAGAACTATCAAGTTCTGACTTAACTTCAGAAGTAGATTGAGACTTGCTCCAATCCCGTACTTCTGATTCTTTTACAATGACATCTCTGCTGACTTCAACTCTATTAGTTTTTGGGCAATAAAGCTTGTATGCACCTGTACTGTGGTACCCCACCAGAATCATTAATTTGCTTCTATCATCCAGCTTCTTCCTTCTAGCTTTTGGAACGTGTTTAAAACATACAGAACCAATACCTTCAGATGACTAACACTTTGCTTGTCTCCAATCCACTTTTCTAAAGGAACAATTTCCTTCACCTTCTTCGTTGGACACCTGTTGAGCACATACCTGACATGGCTACAGCTTCTCCCCACAAATTATGAGGTAGCTTCTTCTCTTTCAACATGCTTCTAGTCATATCAAGCAAGGTATAATTTCTTCTTTCAACAAGACCATTGTGTTGAGGAGTATAAGGAGGAGTAACCTCGTGCTCAATTCCATTTTTCATCACAGAACTTCTGGAATTCTGTAGAGTTATACTCACCTTCACCATCCGTTTTGAGAATCTTCAGCTTCTGACCACTTTGTTTCTCAGCCTTTACCTTGAACTTTTGGAACCCAGTAAACACCTCATGTTTAAACTTGGTGAGTGTTACCCACGTCATTCTTGTGAACTCATACAAAGGACACAAAATTTCTATTTCCTCCAAGTGAAGGTTCTGGAAATGGTCCACACACGTCAGAATGCACTACTCCCAAAGCATGTTTTGCTCTTGGAGCTACTTCTGACACAAATGGCAATCCGGCTTGCTTGCCTTTCATGCATACCTCACATGACTTCTCAGGCTTCACAATCTTCGGAATGCCACGCACGAGCTTCTTGGAACTCAGATGCCCTAGGCTTCTGTAGTTCAGATGTCCTAATCTCTTGTGCCACAACTTATAATCAGCTTGAGCGTCTTCTGAACTAAGACATTCTGCTTCTGTTGTCTCCACATTCACCTTGAATGTCATGTTGCTTCCTTGTTCTGATTGCATAATCAGCTTCTGATTAGCATCATACAACTTCAAGAGATTGTCCTTCATAATAACTGAGAAACCTTTCTCAGTGACCTGACCCACACTCATCAGATTGCTCTTAATTCCAGGAACATATCAAACATCCTTGATCAGAACGGTCTTCCCATTCTTCACTTTAACTTTGACATTTTCCATACCTTCTACATTACGATATTTATCATCAGCACATCTGATTTTTGTCCTCTTTCTGGAGTCAAAATCTATTAGCCATTGTTTGTTTCCAATCAAGTGATTTGAACAATCAGTGCCCATATACCACCAATCTGCCAAACACTTTCTATCAGACTCAAAAGCCATCAATAGCACGGGTTCATCATCAGAATCTCCTCTGGCTATATTTGCTTCTTCTGATTTCCTTCCCTTGTTTGACCAACAATCTTTAGCAAAAAATGGCCAAACTGCTTACAACAGTAACATTGAACCTTCTTCTTGTCAAACTTCTCATTTCCCTTCTAATGTTTCTTCTTATCAGAAGTAAAGGATTTTGACTTCTGGAATCTATCACCACGTCTATTCTTGGTTTCTGACCAAGAATGCTTCAGGTCCTTCTTGACAAAAGAAACCATCAGAGCCTGCTCAACTTCCCTCTCAGAAGTTCTTTCAGTCAGACGCAACTCATGCGCCTCTAGACTGCTTTGCAGCTCTTCCATTCTCATGGGTTCCAGATCTTTAGAATGTTCAATTGCTACCACGATGTAATCAAATTGAGGAATAAGTGACCTCAATATCTTCTCAATAATTACTTGTTCAGAAAGGGTTTCTCCACAAGCCTTCATCTCATTAGTGATCAGAATCATTCTAGAGATATATTCAGAAACCTTCTCATTGTTCTTCATGTTGAGATTCTCATATTGCTTTCGCAGGGACTGAAGTTTTACCTTCTCCACTGATGCGTCACCACCATAGCATCTGACCAGTGTGTCCCATGCCTCCTTCGCCGTCGCCGAATCAACAATCTTCTCAAACACTGATGGATGTAGAACAACACTTTCTGATCTTTCTTCCTCTTGTCTCTCTGTTCATTTCTCTCTTCTTTCGTCGCATCTACTGCAACCGGAACATAGTCATTGGTAACAAGCTCAAGCACATCTTAAGCACCAAATAGCACGCGCATCTGAATCATCCATCTGTTCCAGTTCTTGCCATTAAAAACAGGAAGTTTGGTACTCAGACTACTGTTTCCGTTCGTCCTTAACATTGTACAACTCACACAGATCTCACAAGCACAGTGTTTCCCAACACCACAGAATCAGAAAAAATGTGATTCTATTCAGATTTTGTTCAAGATTCAACACGAACCCAGAACCAAAAATCAATCACACAAACGCCTCACATTTCACTCGTGTTTCCCTGTGGATCAGAACCAGAGCTCTAGATACCAATTTGTTGGTGCACAAGAATCAATGATAACAGAAAAATGAGAGAATAATAAATGACGACTGCAAAGGAAAAGTATGAAAGAATATATGGTTGTTGTTATAAATGACATTTATGACTAGTCTATTTATACAAAAGATAAATTGTCACATAGGTCCTAATAAAATAAACTTAATGACTAAGTTAAAGGTACAAAGCAGAAAATACTAAATTACCCTTCAATACAAACATCCACTAACAGCATAGAAACAACACAAAAAGGGGAAACCAAAGACCCCGCAACACTCACATAACGGGACACCACCTAACAAAGACCAAACTAGAGCTCAGACAAACACCAAAACAACCAACAATAGACTACAACAGACTAAAACTCAAGGAAACATCAACAAACCACTGAAAACCAAGGGGCTAGACCAGAAAGTCTCGATCCACTATTATGATAAAAACTAATTGAGAAAGCAGTCGCAGACCAAGTTCAATAAGCAGAAGTTAACACAGTGCAAATAAAGAAAGCTCTCTCCCTATCTCTCTCTTCACATGAAGATACAAACCCATTTCAGTTTAGATGCAAGAATGACACTACAATTTACATCACTCCCAATCCCAAGTTCAAGATCGTCTTAAGTTTTCAGAGACCCTGTAAAAATTAACAACCGTTTAAATGTGAAAAATCAAATATGAACCCTACTTTGTCATAGTTTAACCGTGATAAATATTTTACGAGATTCTTTTTATAGACTATTAAAATGTGTCCAGATTTGGGCTATGTAACACGCCTTCAAAATGGCCCCAAGTTCGGAACTTTTTGGTGCTAAAAACACCCTAACCCTCTCTCATCTTACCTGGGATCATGCAAATGCATCAGTTTAAGAAAGAAAAGGCTTCTAACGAATTCAATTCACTTCAGTTCAGAAAAAAATGCATAACAATAAAAATAAAATAAAAACATAACTAGCATAACAATTAATACCTACTAAGAACTAAAAAAACAGATAAATTGTGTAAATCAAAATTTTAAGTACTAAATCATAAACAATATGATTAACATGAGGATCAAAAAGGTTAATTTCATATCATAGCATAGAGTTTAACCTAATTTAAGAGAATTTGAAAAACCAGTGCAATTTAACAGAAGAATTAGGAGAAAAAAAATAGAAGAAGAGAGAAGAACCTGCGTGAAGATGATGAAATGGTTAGTAAAATTTGAAGAAAAACAGAGCCTTTTCTAATTTCGCACTGTTTTGCAGATTCTTCTTCCGCAATCTCTCTCATATGAAAAAGTTATATTATTATAAGTAAATAATAAATAATTTTCAAGGGATAGCCACGCAAGCTACCCAATAAAGTCATGTACGCGTGTCCCCTAACATGGTTTTGAAGCTCACAATCATAAATAAATAATTTGAATACACCCTTCATTTATGAATAATTTTTATTATTTATTGCAAAAGATAAATATATAAAATGACATCATAAATAATTATCAATATTTTGAAAAAATAAATGATTTGAATTTAACGAAAAGTAATAAAGAGAAAAAGGTAGAAGTGTATTTCTAATGAGTAAAAAAAAATTGTAAGTTTCTCACTTTGAAGTGCATAACACATTAGGAGTTTCTATTTAATTTTCAAAATTATATTTTTGGGAATTTCTTTGTACATCTTTTATAGGTGGAAAAAACTTCTGAAAATCTGAAAATATTCTTAGAATATGTATCTTCGAACACACTTTAAATCAGGGTGTTTCGAAGATGCATCTTCAAAAATAATATGTTTGGACTTGGATGTTATATTTAAAAATGCAGTGATATTTTCAGAGACGCATCTACAAAACACACTGACTTAGTTCTTTTGAAGATGCTTCTTCGAAATCTTGGACAGTGATATATATTTTTTTTAAAATTATCATTGTATTGATAAATAATTAGATGAAAACGATAATAAAAACGCAAATGAAAAATGATAATACAATAATACGATAATAAAATAAAAACGCATATGAAAACGATATTATAATAAATTATTTAAAATAAAAAATAATAATACAAGAATTGTTCATAAACTATTCTGAAATAAAAAACATAGTTTACTGCGTATGCTTGATCCTCACTCTCTGGCCGCTCTTCTGTCTACTGTATTTCGTCGCACTCCCTGCCTCCCCAACCATCCGCTCTACAATGGCCACCGCCTCAGAACCGCACTGGTCAATGATACATATGTCCAACGCCTCCCGCCTAATCATCTGTATCTGCTGACAGATCGGAAAGAGATCAATGGCATGGTCATCCTCGGCCTGCTGGTTCTCTAAGATCTCCTCATGAGTCGGTCTAGGTGGACATCCAGGAGCATACGATATCATGATAGGATGTGACACTGTGTAGAATCATGTCATGTATCCCTCAACACAGTGCCAACTGCTGGATGTCTGCATCATCTGACACTCCTCTAGCACTAAATGATGCTCTCAGTTCTGAAATATGTCATCGAGCTTCCGACGGGCAATGGTGTCAGGAGCAACCTGAAAGGGAGATCTGGGTATAATATACACATAGCCAAACTGTTGCATGCATCGCTCCGGCAGATACCTGACCATAGTGTTAGTCCTACATGCTAGCCATCCAGAGTACAATGAGATGAAGTCGAATTGGATAATCTCTCAGTGATCCTCGAACGACGTCCATAGGATGTCATCATAGACAATCCTATCAAAATACACCTAGAATGGAAGCACAATCGGGTTCCCTCTGTGGGGCATATCAAGCAGCCTTCGGCATGTCCTCAATATAATACAGAGAATGATTGAAACCATGGATGCGGTGGAAGTGTGAAAGGATCAATCCCTGAAAAATGAATAAGATTCATGTAAGAACAAATTATAGTTATTAATAGTAAATTAAATTTAATAGTTAGAATGATAATAACCATCAACAGTGTAGTTAAGCCTGTCAGCTGTCGTGTCCTCCAGTTAGAGGCTTCATTCAACTTTTGGTACAGGAATACCAAATAGACGGTCCCACTGTTCTACTCCCTCACTGTGTCCAACTCCATGAAGTACCGAAGGTATGCTACATCCACGTAGTTGGTGCTTTTGTCCATAAAAATGGATGTGCCAACCAAGAACATGAAGTAACACCTCAGAGCATACTGACGGTGATAATAAACAAAGAAGTCATCTCTCTCTGACTGGAAATCAGCTCCCGCAGAGAGGTGTTGGTGATGTAACTCTTTAAGGAATGAGAACTTGGCAAGAATCCCATTGATAGAGGAATACAACTTAAATGCCTCTTCTGGTTTAGCTCCCAGGTAATCGACCATCCATTCAATCGCATCACTACAATCGATCCGGGAGTGGTTAAGTAACATCCCTTTGATAGGAAGGTGTAGCAGGAAGGCGACGATGTAACACCTGATAATTTAATTAAATTATTTTTAGATTATTTGTTGAAGTTATGAAATATTGAGAATTGTTGGTATAAGTTGTTAGATTATTATTAATTAATTAATTAGTTGATTAATAATAATAATAATAATGTTGGAATTAATGGAATAATATAATATTAAGTTATTGGGCTTATTTATATGGTGGTATGTAGTAAGTGGGGATGTGTAAGTTAGGCTTAAGTGTGATTACTGAAATAAGGTTAAGCTGATATGAGAAAATAGGTTTTGTCAAGTAGAAGAGGAATAAGGGTTGGAAGAGAAAAAGAGAACGTAGAAGTTGCAGAGAAAAGGGAAGAGAGGCCAAGTTAGGTTCGATTGAAGAATTGTAGAGAGGTCTCTAATCCAAGGTAAGGGTGGGGTTCTTACTCTATAATTGGGTATATGATGAATAACATGTGGAAACCGAGTCGTGTAAAATTGTTATTGTGCGTGTATATTTGTTGTGGTTACTTTTGAAATTGCTAAAATTGTCTTACTGTCAATGAATTTGTTGTAGGAAAAGTATCCTATGTTGGTGTTGCTATAGGGATTATGTTTTTGTAATCATATGTTGTGTTGGTCTGGTATTTGAGAAACTGTTAATAGAAGATAATTTTATGTTCGATTCAGTAAGTCTATGAAAAAGGAAATAGTCTGTGTCGAGGGGCACAAGTGTTGTGTTGGACAGCATAAGGTGAAGGGACGTGCCGAGGGACACACGAGCATGTCGACTGGCATGGTTTGGAGAGGAGTGTTCCGAGCAGCACCACTCTATGGCGAGCGACATGGTTAATTTTTAGTTTGTGCCGAGGTGCACAGTTGGGTGACGAGTGGCATACCCATAAAGTTCTACTTTCTTTTCTTGTTTGGTTTGTTTCATGTGTCTGTTACTTTATTAAATTAGTTACAGAATTGTTATGTAATAGAGTGTTTACCAGTAATTTCTGACAATCAACCGCTAGTCTTCCAAACTCTATATTTTGGTAACTTACAGGATC